TGTCAGACTCTCCTTAATTATATTTCAATTACTCTGACATTATTTGAATGTAACTTTAGGAAATAAATAGAGTGAGCTTTAACTTGAATGGAATGTAGAGCGGTTACTATTCCAAGTACATCTGAAAGAATTTCAGATTCATGTCAGGTTATTTTTTATTGGTAGTTATGATAGATATTTTCAAAGATGCTTAGGGATGGTAATGCAGTATACACTCATGCTAATTTTTGAGAAGGCTGGAAAATGTTAAATGAGCAGATTCAGTCTGTCTAATTAAATACCTTTATTTATATATTATTTATTCACCGCAGGTCATATCATTCTCTTCAAATCTGTATTCTACTAAAATATAAAATATCTTATGCATGTGGCTTGGCAATATAGAAAAATGTCATAGTCAGAAGGTATTAATTATATGCAAGATTTATTACAGGTACTTTATTTATTTAATCCACATGTTTGCATTTTAAACACTTTTGGAAAGGGTATATTAAATAGGAGACATCAAAGAAAATTTATAGGAATAATGTAGTCAGTAGAAAGCATGCATATTGAAACATGGGACAAAGAAATCTGTACATTTGCTGTCAGAATGAATTATGACCACGAATACATATATCCCAATAGAATGAATTGCTTAGCAACTTGCAAGTAATCCAGAGGCATTTCAAGATGATATGGCCTTCATATGAGTTATTAAATGTAATATTACGTGTATGTATTATGGTATTTAATGAGTAAAGCTTTTAGCTTTTATACAACTTGTTTGTCACCCAAATATGCAAATTGCTTGTCTCGGCTCTAACATATGCATTATTCAAGTAAAGTACTCCTCTTCAGAGGTTCACAGAGTCTTTTCTTCTCAGAGAAAAACTGTTTGCTGTCCTGTGCAACTACAGGCTGTGATTCCTTTTTCAAAGTAAAGTACACAAACATGGATGGAAGAGAAAGCAAGAAAAGAAAAATTAACATTGAGAGAGGCAGGGGGATGCTTCCTCCTTCTTCCTGTTCATCCTTCAAAAATAACCTATTCTTCCCTCCCCATAGGAAAATACACAAGAGTTTTATACATGAGTTGGTAGAATGTCTGTTTCTCTCCTGGAAAACTTCAGGAGATGAATTCCAGTAAAAATGAGTTTAAACTGAGATTTAAAAAAAAAAATTAATTCATTTACCCCTGCACTACACAATCCAAGCTGCTAACTAAATGTACAGTTCATCAACTCATATTTCCGTGAGGAATTTTTACTCACAGAAGGTCTATATGTATATCCACATGCATAACAGTTGTATCGATATTAAAGAATACCCATAAAAGCTGTTACACTGCAACTCTGTGGCAAGTCTGTTCCAAGTTTAACTCTGCTTCACTCAGGGTCAAATTTTATGTCGCTTGTATTTGCTGCAGGCTCATGCAGGCACCTATTTATTTAATATGAGATGTATATCCCTGCCTGAAAGGCTCAGAGCTTACAATAAATAAATTACCAATGGGCGGGATTCGCCAAGCCAAGCAACACCCCAAAACCCAAGAACTCCAACCCCCAGCCATCGCCTCTCTGTCCAGCCCCCCCTCCCATCAATCCCAACCACACTTTTACCACTCTCAGAAGCCACCCAAAGCAGCAGTTCTCCTTCTCCTTTGAAAGCAGTTAAGTTTTGCATTTGTCCATATATTTGTCCATATAGTAAAATCTATTTTACTTGGCCAAATAATAAAACAGGACATGGACAAATGATCCTATGACCCCAGCTGACTTCCTGCCCTTTGGGCAGGGGACTGGACTCGATGATCTTCCGAGGTCCCTTCCAGCCCTAACGTCTATGAAATCTATGAAATATTTCACAAGTGAATTTTGCACCCTTGTGGTGCATCTGATAGAATAAGTGATATGCTTCAGTGGAAGATGGCTTGATGGTCACAGCTGCATATAGAGATGGATGCAAGAGGGGCAAAAAAAACAAAAACGCAAAAGGACTAGAGACACGGGAAACTGTTTTGTGTTCTCACATTTAATTGCCCAGAAATCCCTTCTAATTTTGCAGCAAACAATTATAGCAAAAGAATTAATGAGCTTATTTAAAATATCATATAACTTTGGAGTTAGTAGCACTTCTCTTAGAAATGTGATTTCTTTGATTGTGTACTCAATGCATTGCACCAGTTCAGGATGGGGACTGACTAGCTAAGCAGCAGCTCTTCAGAAGACAACCTGGGGGTTACAGTGGACAGTAAGCTGAATATGAGCCAAAAAAAGTGCCCTTGTTGCAAAGAAGGCTAATGGCATCCTGGGCCACATTAGTAGAAGTGTTGCCAGCAGATCAAGGGAAATGATTATTCCCCTCTATTCAGCACCGGTGAGGCCACATCTGGAGTATTGTGTCCAGTTTTGGGTCTCCCACTACAGAAAGGATGTGGACAAATCGGAGAGAGTCCAGCAGAGAGCAAGCAAAATGGTTAGGGAGCTAAGGAATATAATTTATGAGGAGAGGCTGAAGGAACAGGGCTTATTAATCTGGAGAAGAAAAGACGGAGAGGGATTTAATTGCAGCCTTCGGCTATGTGAAGGGTGGTTCCAAAGAGGATGGAGCTGGACTGTTCTCAGTGGTGGCAGATGATAGAACAAGGAGCAATGGGCTCAAGCTGCAGCAAAGGAAGATTAGGTTAGATATTGGGAAAAACTTTCTAAGGAGAGGAGGGTAGTAAAGCACTTGAGCAGGTTACCCAGAGAGGTTGTGAAATATCTATCCTTAGAGGTTTTTAAGATGCGAGTAGACAGAGCCCTGGCTGGGATGATCTAGTTGGGAATGGCCCTGCTTTGAGCAGAGGGTTGGACTTAGATGACTTCCTAAGCTCCCTTCCAACCTTAATTTTCTATTAGTCTGTGATAGACATGAGGGTTTAGCTTCACAGTCAAGTGGTGGGCTAGATATGTTCATTTAAACTCTGGAGAAAACAGAAAGATCTTAAATCTTTGGTATGGTACAGCATTTCTAGAGTGTATATGTCAAGTAACTTAATTAAACCACAAGTACGTTTCCAGGGAATTTAGAATTATTCTTTTAACTTCCTGCTTCCAGCACAAGAGGCTGGAAATATATAATTACTCAAATCAGGTTTTAATCAGCAACTCCTGTACCTCTACAAATTTAGTGTTGATGGATTTAGAATTGTGTTTACTAACTGCAAAACAGTAAAAGGAAAATGTACATATTTGGTATGGCACATGGTCACCTACACTCAAGCAAGTTGTATTAAAACTGGAGCAGGGGCAAGAAGGGGTTACTAGGTCCCCACATCTTAAAAATAAAAAGGCACAAAAAAGGACAACAAGGATGATCAGGGGATCTAGAGGGACTTGCATATGAAGAGAGACTATGCTAGGATTTTTCAGCTTAGGAAAGAGACACTTGAGGGAGGACTTGATAGAGGTCTACAAAAAAAGTGCAGAGAAAGTAAACGGGGATTTATTATTTACTGTTTCTCACAATACTTGGAACTAGAGGACATAACATGAAACTAAGGTTGAAAACTAAGCAGAGGAAATTCTTTCTTACACAGCAGACGATTAACTTGTGATGTTATGGAGACTAACTGGCATTCAAAAAGGGATTGATTGGACAGATTCTTGGAGGGAAGGCCTGTCAGTAGATACTGGGCATGGTAGACAGGGCTTCAGCATCCAAATCAGAACTTCCTAAACGGCAAGCTGCGGTAGAAGAGGGACAAGAGGTGGGTGATTCTGGACATACCCTGTTCACCCTCCCCCTTTGTAGCATCTACCCTTTGCTACTCTTTGGGTGCCTATAGATGTGCTCTGATGCGTTTTAATTAGAACATGTTGGAGCAGACTTGACTAACCACGATTAACCATCATGTGTATTAAATGTCCCATGTAGGGACACTAACTCAAACAAGTCAAATGAGCTTTAGTTAAAGCACCCCCGTGGCCATTTTGGAATGCAGGATGCTTAGTACATGTGACAATGAGCTGTTTTAATTAGAGTGGGTTTCTAGGAACTGCTTTAATTAAAATGCCTTTCCCCACCCCGTGCATTTCTGTAGGCACCCTTTGACACCAGAATACTGGGCTAGATCAGGGTTGTCTGACTGGTGGCCTGTAGGTGTCATGCAGCCCATGAAGGGTTAAATTGCTGCCACTTGCTCCCATTGATTCAGCTGCAGCAAAATCCAGAGCCTGCAAGCTGCTCTCCCTCATCTGGCTTTTGTTGCCTGCCCCTGCCCAATACAGGGGACAGTGCAGTGTGGCACAGCCAGGGGAGCTGAAGGTGAGCCTGGGCACGGGGTACAGCTGTGGGGTGGAGAGGGGCCTTCACACACTGTGGCCTGGCAGGACTGTTACTCACCCTGATGTGGCCCCTGCCAATGCATCCTGTGAGGCATTTGGCCCCTGGCCACTTAGAAGTTGGACAGCCCTGGGCTAAATGGACCGGTGGTCTGACCCAGTAAAGGGCATTTTTTTAATGTATATTATGTGTGTGTACTAGGTGATCAGCAAATGGGGAGTTCTTTTCATGAGATGAGACTAAAAAAGCTTTGGTTTAGACTAGCAAACTAAAGGCTGGGAGAGGATCTGATCTTTTCAAATACATAGAGGCAAAGGCCAAGGAGAGTAAAGAATTATTTTAGCTAAAAGCCACTGTTGCCATAGGAACTGGCGATGAATAAATTTAGGCTAGTAGTTAGAAGAAGGTACCTGAACATAAAAGCAATCGGGTTGTGCAGCAGCCTTCAAATGGAAGATACAGGGGCAATGGCATACCTGTTTTTAAGATAGAGCTTGATTAAGTTTATGAATGGGGTTATTTGATGTGGTGCCTGCAGTTGCAAAGGACTCCACGGTGGCCCAAGATGCCTCTTCCAGTCCTACATTCCTATCTATAGCTGTTTCCCAAAATAAAAGCTCTGGTGCTTACCTTTGTGATGCTGTATTGTGAAAGCACACCAAACAGTTTTATTTTCCTGTTACTGTCACTAGGATCAAGAAGAGGAGGAGGAAGAGGATGGAATCCCAGCATTCTCTGAACCCGTTCTGGAATTTAATAGACAAGCTGAAGTTGTATCTCAAAAATATAATGGTCCTGCATTTCCACCAATGGCACCGGCTCCTGTTCCTCAACATGCGGCAGATATTCTGGATGAAATCATTGAAAGAAGGGAAACCATTGAAAACCAGTTAATAAGCTGGTGAGTGTCCACTGAGTTTGGAGGTAATGAAACAGTAGGAGTAAATGTATTGGGAAGAAATAGCGTGTTGTGTAAATGTAGGTGTCATGATGGCTGCTAAATACAGAGACTTATTTTTGTCAGGGTGGAACAAGAGGTCATGGCACGAATTATCAGTGGGATGTACCCAGTTCGGAAGGAAGCGGTGCCCAGTATAAGTGCATCAGAGAGTGAAGACAGTGAGGCTGTAACCTCTGACATCAGTAAGTAAGAACAGGAGTTATTTTCAGTTGTTTTCCACCTTCAAAGCAGATGGGACAAAAGTATATTCTAGCTCCAGTTCAAGCTGAAAGATGTTTCAACAGGTTGCTTAGGTGGTTAAGTCTAAATGGCCCACTCACTCTTCGGGTTATGTGGAAGTGGAGAAATGGGTTGTCAGGCCACTAAAAAGTAAATTGTCACATGCCGTTAATATAAAATAAAAGGCCACAAATTAGCCAGTCTGGCAAGCCAAATGTGGTCATCCTCCTTCCAGGCAAATCAGCTTAGCAGGAGCACAGCATGCAGCAAACCCTACCAGCTTTTGACTGTCTTTCCACCTTTCCTGTTAAGAAGAGACATTTCAAATGGCTGCCTTCTTATCAAACAAGAGAGGCAGGCACAGACATCACAGATCTGATCTCAGTCCTTCCCCCAGTTCCTTCTGTTGCCACAGATAAATCTTCTGTCTTAGTGTTTCCCTCTCTCTGTGATGGATTTTTGGAACGTCTGACGGTTCTTGAAGGATGCAGATTGCTCCTTGTCTTCTATGCGAGTTTATTGCTTTTGCATAAAATTTTGTATTAATTTTGTTTATTATTTGTCTTTAGTTGAAGCAGCAGGTGGGGGAGGATTTCAGCTCTTTGTCAATGCTGGTTTGCCGGTGGACTTGGAAATGATCAATCATTTAGTGAGCGAAGCTCTCACTGAGACTGTTGCCATCATGCTGGGTGATAGGGACCACTCCATGAGCCCCCCTGCTACAAACGTTCTCCCAAGCATGACAGTTTTGCCAGTAAGAGTCCATTTTATTTCAGCTTTTATGTTATAATTACAATGACTGTGGGAATAATTGTAACCAGAGCATTCCAATGCAAAGATGTTGGAACCCATTCAGAAACAGAACAAACCTGGTTACAGCTTCTTGCATAGGTCTTGGTATATGACTGCAAGCAACAGGGTTTAAACCAGTTTCACTGTCAAAACTTGAATTCTTTTGCAATTTGTTCAGATTGCTACTTTAAACTTTTTAAAATCCTGGATATGCTGTTGACATCTGAAGAAAGAGTGGCAATATTGTATTTCACAGGGTTGAATTTTTATATTATTTCCATTGCCAGGCTGCTAGAGTAATAAACAGATGCTTCAGTGTAAGGAGGGGTGTGTGTTGTGTGTGTACTTACCAAAAGGGTTTTTTCTTAAGTATTTGCCAATATAAGAATCCATTGTATATCTTCACAATTGAGTGTCTGATTCAGAAGCTGACTAGAAAGCTACAGGAATTTAGATCTATTTACATTTTTAGATGTTCATTAGAAGATTCGATGCTGTACTCTAGATTTCATAAATTTATTGTTGTCAGGGGCTGGAAGGGACCTTACCAGATCATCGGGTCCAGCACGTGACCCAGTAAGATGGGCATCAAGTCATTTTTTTGAAGATCGCCAGTGTGGGTGACTGTACCACTTCTGGGGGAAGCCTGTTCCAAACCCTTAGCACTTGTCTTGTAAAGAAGTTTTTCCTTATGTCTAGCCTGAAGTGATCTTCAGTCAGCTAGACATAAGGAAAAACTGCTTCATCTGGGTAGACACAGATGCAACAATTGTATCCTTTTCAAAGGATGCCACTATAAACTTTTAGGATGCTGCTGTTACTTTTGTGTGATTCTATAAGGAAACAAGTGTAGCAGAACTGCTCCAACTTTAACCCTGCTTCATCCAAGGTCAAAGTTAGAGTGATTTAACTCACTGGGATCATCCAGTTAGTGTTACGGATGCCGTGTTATCCTTATAAGTAGCTCCCATTCCCCCTTTTAAATCAGCTAAAATGTATGATTGTCCATACTCTAGGTTGTGCAGAACATTTCATGTTGAGCTTTGAGGACTTCCTGCGCAGAGCTGTATAAGTCACTTGCTTGTCAACAGTTCCCAACTTTCACTGGAGACAGGCCAAGCAAGATTTAAACATAAGACAGTGTGACAGGAAGGGAACTCCTGGAACCCTGAGTCATCCCCTGCTGTGCCCCCTTTCATAAACTTATTGAGCTCCACCTTAAAGCTAGGTGGAAAGTAGGGTAGAGTGGCACCTTAGAGACTAACTGGTTTAGAAAAGCAAATACTTTTGTAGGCAGACCTACTTTGTCAGATCTGCCCTGTCTTCTGCCTGACTTCAGACTAACACAGATAACCATCTCAGTCTTAAAGCTGGTGATGTTTTTTTGCTCCTAGTGCTTCTAGTGAAAGGTCTTACCAGAATCTTATTCCCCCGATGCACAAGCCACCTTCTCATTTAATGACTATTTTATACATATTTGTTTGGTGTCAGAAGTGCCATTTAGCTTAAATTGTTCTTTTCCCTTTCTGTTGTCTAACTCCCTTCCTCCCTCCCTGGGTATTTGTAGGTGGCAGACCTTTGTTTTACTAGGCTGTACAAGTTAGAGATGGGCAAGGAATTTTGAGTGATGTCCTCTAGTCTAGTGGACCAGTTGCATGGTTGGGAAAGACTTAGACAAACTTTTGAATGCAATGCATTCTTCCTCAGGTCTAATGATAAAGCAGGCACAGCAGAGATTAAAGCAGGCTGCAGAATTGGAGAGGAGAGAAAGTTCCATAGGTTGCAGATGAGCAACTCATGGAAGAAAAGAGCCTGATTATTGGAAGATCAACGACTTTCAAAAGGGAAGAGGGTTGTTATCACCTGTAGTGTGAAGGAAGATTATCAGGAATCAGGTAGATTATAGTATGCCATGCAGTCAATATTGGTGTTCAGTCTTTGGTTCTTAGTGTCTAGCTAGCTTATGAATTTTTGTAGGGTTGGCAAGCCGGTCAATTCACTGGTCAAATATTGTCAATTGACTGCATATTTTTGACCAGTCAAAGATTATAGCAATTTTACAAAAAAACCCAACCCTACATTTATTTTAGTTTCCTTGACAGAAATATGATTTTTAAATTGTTTTTTGACAGACTGGAAAATGTGTGCATTTTTCCATATATTATTTGGACCTATTGGCAATTTTTTACAATTCTTGACCAACACTTGACCAGTCAGTTGATCGAACTTTGATTGGTCAAATACCCAACCCAATTTTTTGTTCCCAGGCTTGTTTTTTGAAGGTGGGCTGTAAATTTTCCTTGAGCACAAGAATAGTGAGGTGAGAAAGCAAGTGGCTGTTCTGTGAAAAACATTTGTGGGTCTCTCCCCTGTGATTATCATTCCGGCATGTAATTTTAGACTAGTTTCACCCATGTAGTTTCCACGATGGCATTTGGTGCACTGGATGAGAGAGATGCCGCATTTTGGGAAAGGCATGTTTAGGGTAGGCTGCATGGATTCTGATGGATTAATTGTGGGGCATGTTGATTGTTATAGCAGCGGAGATGTGTTGACAAGTTTTTACGCCCATTGTTAAGGAAAGGCCATGCCCCATTTGATGTCTTGAACAAAGCTGTGTCCCATTTGATGTCTGTGGGGAGTTTGTTTCTGTTGATGAGTTGGACAAGATTAGGGTAGTGTTTGAAAGCCAGGAACCAGGGGAGATTGCAGGGAGGCTCAGAATATTTTTCTCCAGGTCTGATCTTTATTGAGTATAGGCTGTAATTGTTTGATAATTCTTCCTATTGGCTCCAGTGTGGGGTAGTGGGTGACTAAGAGGGGTATGCAGTCGCAGAAGGGTTTCTTTTTGTATTGTAGAAGATAAGTACAGGGTATTTAGGCAGCTCTTTCAAAGATACAATCTGTTTTTCTTTTGGAGTGTCCTGGTTATATAAAGGCAGATTTCAGGTTGGCTAGATGGGTATCATCAGTATTCTTCTCACAGCATATGCACAGCATATGCAGTGGTATCTGAGGACCTGACTGTAGATTATTTGGCCTTTCAGACCTGTTTTTAATCTTTGTCGTGCCTGTGTTTTCCTCAGACCTGAAGAATAATGCATTGCATTCAAAACCTGCTTTGAGCAGGGGGTTAGACTCAATGACCTCCTGACGTCTCTTCCAACCCTCATTTTCTGTGATTCTACGTTTATCCCAACCTTGCAGCTGGTTCAATAAAAGTTCTCACTCACAAAACCCCTTTCCTCTTGCATATGCCCTAGAACATTGTGGCTATACCAACACTCCAGCACTATATAAATGGAGCTTTTCTTAGTCTCATTTTGTGATGGTCTCCAATCCCCTGATTGTACTAAGAGCCCTTCTCTGCAGCTGCTTTAGCTGGAGTTCTTCTTTCTTGAACATAGCTGACCACAATTCTCTACGGTATTCCAGATGAGCTCTCATCAGTGCCTTTTACAATGGCATTAATGCTTTCTGTCACTCATGGTGATATCAATATCTTGAAGATACCAATACCTTGCCTGATATCTTATAATCACATTTGCTTTTTTTCCGTAGCTGTTTCACGTTAGTTGCTCTTATGGTCAGCTTGTGATTATCTAGTTGTACCTAAACCTTTCTCTTCCCAGAGATTTCAGATAGGAATCCTTAGTGTCAAAAGTATATGCTGACCTGTTGTTGTCCTTGAATTCTTTGCAACAAAAGAATTGCTTTATTAGTTTTCCACAGTAGAGACATGAGTGAAAGCTAAGATCTGGCATTTTCTGACGGGGGACTTAAGTCTAATGAGGGGTGCCTTGAGTCTGAAAAGGTTGAAGGACCATTGTCCTAGACTCCCTTTGGTAGCAGCAGTTCTGAATAAATTTAGAAGAGATGAAGATTGCATGGAGAAAACTCTTTGCTGGAAGTTACAAATCTGATTATTTCTTTGTTGGTGGTAGTGGCTAATCCCATTGAGGTGCTGATTTTGAAGCCTCTGGTCACCTAGAATGAAGGCTTCTTGTTATGTCCTAGTCCAGGTTTTCTCACTTCTGGCAACTTCAGAGGCTACCCAAGTTGTTATTTTCAGATAAAGTTTCTCAAATGACTCTGGTTGGAAGAATTGAAGGAGTCACGTTTAAATGGTAAGATAACTGTGTTATAGACTTTCTAGTTATCTTGTTTCTTCTTTTATATTTTCAGGAATGTGAAATATCTACTCCATTGGCTACACCATGTGATACACCACCTCTTGAAAAAGAACCATCACCAGTAAAAACCCCCGATTCTTCCCTTTCTGTTACAGAACTTGGTGGAGAAGTTCTTGTTCACCAACAAACAAAAGAATCAGGTAGTAAAAAATAATCACTAAATTTGAGATGAAGCAAGCATACGTTAATCCGTTACTTTTTCTTTTCTTCTCCAAAGGCACTGTCTCTGAGGCTTAACACTCTTGGGCCTGTGTTTTCATTTGGAGAGTAGTTTGGAGCTTGCATAGTTTAAAAGCTTTAAGCAAATTTCCTATACAAACAATCCCGTTTTATCTCCCTTCTGACATCAGGTGTTCCTTTATCCTTTATTTATATCTCTCTGATATATCACTTTTCCAGCTCAAAAAAGAGCTGCTTCATCTATTCCTGATGTTAGTAAGTGTCCATATTAATACATCTTTGAAAAGTGTCTTGGCTTTCAGAAGCCTGAGCACCCACAAATCCTACTGAAGTTAACAAGAACCACAGGATGGTTGTGTAGCACCTACAAGTGTTTAACTAGTTATTTACATTAGTCTAATCCAGTACAGTCTTCACAGATTTTTAAAACCCTTTCAGGCAAAATACAGAACACCTTGTGGAAAGAAAAAAAGCTTGATCTTGTCTGAAGGTTATTTGCTGCTTTCCAGTCCATTCTGAACTCTGTGATTTGTTTCATGTGTGTAGGTTTTGAGATTCCAGGTGCCACAAGTCCCGTTGGCACACCTGCTGCTACCCCTGTGGATACACCTCCTAAAATAACTACACCGACCCCTCCAGCATCAGAACCTGGCTTTGATGCAACAAAGATGGAAAGCCCAAAGCCTCCAAACCCATGGGGAGATGCAGAGCTCCCTCTAGAAGAGGAGAAGCCTAGTCCTTTGAACGAGGAGACTTTTCACCCAAAGCCTATGTGAGTTCTAACAAGCCACATCTTTTTCCAATTTCTTTTATTTAGCTGCAGCAGTATGCAACTTTGAAGAAACACAGGATGTTTATATTGCGAAGCACGGAGATAAACAATTCAATAAATAGTATCATGGACTGGTTTATAAAATAAAGTAAGACTTGAAATCTGGAGGCGGGTTAAGATTTGATTAACACTTGTTTATACTCCTGTTTGACAGGGTATTTAGTACGTTGTTTTTAGCCATAGCTGCCGGTAACAGATGTGACCGTGGTGAATGAAGTGCCTTTCTGTTGTTAACATTTTACAAAATAGGCCGCTACTTTTTGGCTGCCTTAATTAAAGCGACCCATTTGTGACAAATGGATCGCAGCTCACTGTTAAGGTTACTTTAACATTTTTTCTCTCTTACACCAATTCATAAAACAGGGGCTTTTTTTTTTTTGATAAAAGCCTTGTACTGTATGCTTTGTTGTGCTGGGTTTGGGGTATGGTTTGTTTAAGCACTTTTGTTTGGTGTATTTTGGTGCATTCAGAATACATTTTCTTGAATTTCAGTGTCATGTCAGTGGCTAAAGATGAAGAACCAGACACCTTGGTTTTACCAGCTTCTCTTGAGCCAGTTAGACCCCTTGCATCAGTTCCTTGTGAACCAAAGATTCCCTCTCCTGGGCATACACTTAGCTCTGGCCCATCCACGCAGGAAAGCAGTATAACTGCCACAGAAACGGAAACAGAAACTGGAGACAGATTCATCTCGGAGGGCGAGGTCCTGTTTAGCTATGGTCAAATGATAGCTGCAAGAGGTAAAACTGAATTTCCAGGGACCTGTGCATTCAGGGTTTCGTTTGAATAAGTGTCTGTTGTTTGCTCTGAGTGAAAGTTACTCTGTTGGTATAATAGAAATGTGTTTTACTTCTTGGGAAGTCCAAAGCAGTGGTGCTAAACCTTCTGGTCCCATGGGCCAGATGAGTGGTGTGGGGTTGGTCCATGGGCTGGATCCATTGGGCAAGGTCAGACCTTTGGGCCAGATCCTGTGTGGGGTCAAGGCCATGGAGCAATCCCACATGCCAGTGCATGGGACTGTCATCCTGCCAGCAGGACTCCCCAAGAGTTCACAGATTTGGCATGGTGGCAGCTCTTACTGTTGTGGCTTCCAGATCAACCCTGCATGCCAGTCCCATGCTGGATGCCAGCTTTCAAAGCCATGGCAATTAACCTGCTCCTGCTCCCCGACTGCCAAATTTCCAGATGTATGGGGAGCCCCACATGCCAGATAACATGGCACCGGGGACAGATTTGGCCTCCTTGCCAGGTTGCACACCTCTGGTCTGAAGTGAGAGAGTACATTTGTAGACCTATACTAACTGTTTGTGGTTTTGGGGACATGTAAGAAATTTCACCATTTTTCCTTTTCTATGAATGAAAGTTATGTGTTTGCTAATGAAAGAAAATGATATAGAATAACTGGGGGTTAATGACAAGAGAGCTTCTTTTAAATTATTCTCGTGTGCACAAGAACAATGAATAAATTGTAGTGAGAACTTTTTTTTTTTAATTTCATAAAGCATCAGAATTATTTCTTATGGGGCGGAAAAATGTACACTAATGAGGCACATGTGATAAGAATTTTTACCTTTGTTAAAGCATTTTGTTGCAATTTAGAAAAATGTATCATTAACTCGCTGTCCTAGAGGCATGTTTTCTAATATTTGTAGCATGTGTGGGCATGTGTTTCTTTTCAGTCTTAGCAGAAGGACTGTCTCTTCCAAACCTGAGTGAAAGTTTATGCAGTACCCTACATGACGCCCATGAAATGGTAAGGCATTAAACCAGGAGGAGATTGAATTTAGCGTAATACCTTAGCTGGATTCTCTTGTCAGATAAGATGCTCTCTAGTCTGTTTATATACTTTTGTTTAGACACAGTAAATACAGACAAAAGGACTGATAAGAAATATTGAAGAAACAGTGTGTTTTCAGTGAAAAATTCCAAGCTTGTTCAAATGGATTTGTAAAACAATTACAAATTTCAGAACCCATTATAGTAAATGATTGTTCTTTATAAAGATGCCTGTCTTCCTGCCAGCTTTCTTGAGAGAGTAATAGTTGAGTTAAAAGCCAAATTATTCACACATTCCATCTAATATGTAGTATGGTTTATTATTTCGATATACTTTTGATGTTAGATGTGAAATACAATATTACTTATTTATTCAAATTTCATTCTTACATTCTATAGTAAGTAAAATGGCAAAACGTTATTATGCCCTTCAACTAAGAATGTGATCCATGCGACCTGGTATTTTTCAGAACATGTGGCTTACTGGAATGAAACAAATTTATATTTGTTCACTTTTGATACCACTGTAATATTTTTTAATGAGTTCTAGAACATAAAGAATGGAAGGGTTTGCTTTTTAGCTTTCCCAAGTACAAGCTATGTCTTCGGTGAATATTTTTCCATATTTCTTCTTAATCAGTTTACCCCTCGTAATTTGTTAATCTCTCCTTTTGAACTATAATAGTTGAATATAGTTTATAAGTATCTAAGACAGCAGTGATCTCTGCATAGCTGCCCTGTTGTCTGTCTTGCAGATCTAAGTTTGTTTACTCCTGTGCTCCATACTTTGGGAATTGTTCATATGTGTTACATGTCTTTTGACAAAGATTACTCTTTCAGTATATAGATAAATCTAAGAGGTGATTTTTAATGCCAGGTATAGGATCTTTCCCGTCCTGGACCACGTGCCCAACAGGTGGGAAAAAATTAAAACTGTGATGACAGAGCCCTAATTCTGTTCCAGGTCTTCCTTGTGGAATTAATATGTAGATCCATAAGGGATCAGGAACATAGCCAGACATTGCTGTTTTTTAGATATTCCTGGGATTTGCAACAAGTGGTGTTCCCCTTGGACGGCAGATATGCAGAGCAGAAGCATTTCCTGTTGCGCAGTTGTTCCAGTAAAGACATTTATGCTCTCATAGGTCAAATGTGAAAAATGAGAAACTTCAAGATTGGTTTGTTCTGTGGCTTTGTGCCTCTTTGGGGCTTAAAAAGCAAGCCAGGTGTGAAGGCAATGTGTCCAGTAGATCTCAAGGCATAAGCATGCAATGTCAACATTTTAGTGCCTGCTCAGAATTTATTGTAATCCCTGGAAATTGCTTCTTAAATTGAAACTGTTTAGAAAATTGGGAGCATGCAAAGTTGCTTCAACATTGAGGCACCTTTTAACTGTTTATGGATTTCATAGAATCATAGAAAATGAGGGTTGGAAGGGACCTCAGGAGGTCACATCTAGTCCAACCCCCTGCTCCAACAGGACCAGCCCCAGCTAGATCATCCCTGTAATGTACAGGGGGCACTTGCCTGCCTGTACACTAATGCCAGGAGCTTGGGGAATAAGCAGGAGGAGCTCATCCTCATGCTCAGTGCAAACAATTACGATGTCATAGGGATAACGGAGACCTGGTGGGACTCCACCCATGACTGGACCACGGGTATAGATGGCTATACCCTGTACAGGAGGGATCATGTAGAGAAAAGGGGCGGGGGGGTAGCTCTCTATGTTAAGG